CCCATTAGATTGTAGTTTTAGGAGGAAATCTGCTATTTTTCTTTAGACATTTGAGGAAACTCATAAATTTCTTACACACTTAAAAGGCACCCAAGAAATATTGTTGAACAGCTATGAAATACAGTGTCAGACAATCATTTTAAATTTTGGTGCATCACAGTTGGAACCTCTGTCGATCTTCACTTTAAAGTGTCAGCTGATAAAATGTCAGGTTATTTATAAAACAAGACAAAATCTCTTCTTGATTAAATACTTTATTGCAGGTCAGCACTGTCATGAAAAATACTCTTGTTTTCCCATTAGAAGCATGATTATTGAAGCTTTGTTCTTCCTTTGGAATTTTTTTCTTTCTTTCTTTTTTTTTTTACATTTAAGAAGTCAACAATTTTATATGTACAACTAGATGAATTTTGACAAATCCAAATCCATTTATGCAATGACCATAATAATCATGGCATAAAAACATCTCCATTAATGAAAAGTTTCTTCATGACTCTTTTTTTTTAACAAATAGATTCATTTAATTTTATTTTTAAAAAATTTTTCCCATTTATTTTTATTTGTTGGAGGCTAATTACAATATTGTAGTGGTTTTTACCATACATTGACATGAATCAGCCATGGATTTATATGTGTTCCCCATCCCAATCCCCTCTCCCGCCTCCCTCTCTATCCCATCCCTCTGGGTCTTCCCAGTGCACCAGCCCTGAGCACCCGTCTCATGCATCCAACCTGGGCTGGTGATCTGTTTCACCCTTGATAGTATACTTGTTTCAATGCTGTTCTCTGTGAATATCCCACCTTCGCCTTCTCCCACAGAGTCTAAAAGTCTGTTCTTTACATCTGTGTCTCTTTTTCTGTTTTGTGTATAGGGTTATCGTTACCATCTTTCTAAATTCCATATATATGTGTTAGTATACTGTATTGGTCTTTATCTTTCTGGCTCACTTCACTCTGTATAATGGGCTCCAGTTTCATCTATCTCATCAGAACTGATTCAAATGAATTCTTTTTAATGGCTGAGTAATATTCCATGGTGTATATGTACCACAGCTTCCTTATCCATTCGTCTGCTGATGGGCATCTAGGTTGCTTCCATGTCCTGGCTATAATAAACAGTGTTGTGATGAACATTGGGGTACATGTGTCTCTTTCAGATCTGGTTTCCTCGGTGTGTATGCCCAAGAGTGGGATTGCTGGGTCATATGTCAGTTCTATTTCCAGTTTTTTAAGAAATCTCCACGTTGTTTTCCATAGTGGCTGTACTAGTTTGCATTCCCACCAACAGTGTAAGAGAGTTCCCTTTTCTCCACACCCTCTCCAGCATTTATTGCTTGTAGACTTTTGGATAGCAGCCATTCTGACTGGCATGTCATGGTACCTCATTGAGGTTTTGATTTGCATTTCTATGATAATGAGTGATGTTGAGCATCTTTTCATGTGTTTGTTAGCCATCTATATGTCTTCCTTGGAGAAATGTCTGTTTAGTTCTTTGGCCCATTTTTTTATTGGGTCATTTATTTTTCTGGAATTGAGCTGCAGGAGTTGCTTGTATATTTTTGAGATTAATCCTTTGTCTATTTCTTCATTTGCTATTATTTTCTCCCATTCTGAAGGCTGTCTTAAAAATATGGAACACTTCACGAATTTGCATGTCATCCTTGAACAGGGGCCATGCTAATCTTCTCTGTATCATTCCGATTTTAGTATATGTGCTGCCGAAGTAAGCGCCTTCCTTTGGAATTTGAACATTCACTCTGACACCTTCTAAAGTAGAAACCTTATCAATTAACCTCTTAAAAAAAAAAAAACAAACTTGACCTTTGGCTGACAGACAGGAAACTTACTGAGGCTAACTGGAGACACATTTTTTGTGTAGGCAGCAGTTTTTTTAGCAGCCCTGCTCTGTGTCTTTGGTGGGGTGGATACCCTGAATCTCAAACCCTGACAGGTGGGAATTCTTTGGATGGAAGTGTGGGGTGTGGTTTGCTCTTTGTAAAAGATTGATTTAACTTCCTGAACAGTGCCACTGTCTACTTGCAAATACATTTGTGTGTTGAAAAGGATATCAGTAACCTTTTAACTCCAAAGTATTTTTTTCCTGTAGAAAATTTAAATTTTATTCCTTAAGGAAACTTTGTGATACCCATTCCTAATTGTTCTGAACAATTGTTCCTAATTGTTCTCGCAATGCATGGTTTTCAGTCACATCTGTCCAAATCCACTTTTTGGGGATATATTGTATCAAGCATGCTCCTATAGGTACTAATTCTTTAGATATTAATCATCCCTTGTAGGAAGTAAAATTAATATTTGAAAATGGACTTACAGATATATCAAGATAAGAAACATTTTTTTTACATTTCTTGAAGATTCAAAGCTGGACAAATGTTCATATTTGCTAGGGCAGAATCTACTTTAAAAAGTATTATAGCCCATTCTCTTTGGACCTATAAAGATGTAGAATACTCTAGGAGGCATGTGTATTTACTTGTCAGGCAGTTCCAGAAGATGGAAGAAATACTTGTGGTCCAGAGCTAATGGTTAGGGAGTAAGGACATCACTGAAGATATACTATAATTACCACTGATACCAGGCCTGGCTACCACCTTAGCTCAGGACATAGAGAACATTTCTCCCAACATATTAAGCATTCAATAATGTGAGAAAGGCCTCAGAGAGTCATTTATCTTAAGGGTTCTCTGCTTTTTGTCTCACATAAGCATGACAGATGACAGTCATCGAGAGTCATGTATAATTCTTAGCATGTTACCTATAACAGTAACTCTTAATTCACTAAAAATATCTGTTGGAATGCCAAATGCCTCGAAGTATACCATATTTATGGGATATCTGTATATCTACTTAAATTTGTAAATATGCAATGATGAACAAATTATTTTACACACTCCATGCAATCTGAATACCCCCTTTAGCATCATGGAGATTAAAACCCACTAATTTAATTGAGCCTTCTATCACTCCTGTTACTGATTCTTACATGGATTATCCTCAAAATTCAGTGGAAACAGTGACAGACTTTATTTTCTTGGGCTCCAAAATCACTGCAGACAGTGACTACAACCATTAAATTAAAATATGTTTGCTCCTTTAAAGGAAAGCTATGACAAATGTAGACAGTGTATTAAAAAGCAGACATCACTTTGCCGACAAAGGTCCATATAGTCAAAGTTATGGTTTTCCCATTAGTCATGTATGGATGTGAGAAATAGACCATAAAGAAGGCTGAACACAGAAGAATTGATGCTTTTGAACTGTGGTGTTGGAGAAGACTCTTGAGATTCCTTTGGACTGCAAGGAGATCAAAGCAGTCAATCCTAAAGGGAATCAGTTCCGAATATTCATTTGAAGGACTGATGCTGAAGCTCCAGTACTTCGGCCACCTATTGTGAAGAGCCGACTCATTGAAAAAGACCCTGATGCTGGGAAAGATTGAAGGCAGGAGAAGAAGGGGACAACAGAGAACAAGATGATTGGATGGTATAACTGACTCAATGGACATGAGTTTGAGCAGGTTCCAGGAGATGGGGAGGGATGGGGAAGCCTGGAGTGCTGAAGTCCATGGGGTCGCAAAGAGTCAGACACAACTGAGTGACTGAACGAGAACAATCCTCAAAATTCAAAAGGTGGTGTGTTTAGTTGCTGAGTCATGTCTGACTCTTTTCAATCCCGAGGATTGTAGCCCACCAGGCTCCTCTGTCCATGGGATTCTCCAGACAAGACTACTGGAGTGGGTAACCATTCCCTTCTCCAGGGTATCTTCCTGATCCAGGGTGTGGTATTGTTACATTTATAAATTAAAGTTTGATTTTATAAGTTAATAAGGAAATATGATTCCTATTAGAAAAACTGGCTACAAGTTTTGCTGATTGCAAGTGATCTTTAAAAGGAGGACATTCTGTGCTCTGATTTAAATATCTTGTAGCGATTTCAGTTCCTTTTGGGAGAAGTTGAGAATTTATTTTTTTCCTGGAGTTGTGTGATGAGAGATAAAATTACCTTTAGTCACAAACAAGTTAGAACAAAAATATGACCTCTGTTTATGCATGTGTGTATGTGTGTGTGGGGATATAAATATAAAGAAGATTTGACTATATGAATTTTTTTTTATTTTGCATTTTGATTTCCATTAAAAAGACTTTTTCTTTAGATTTTGTATTTCTGATGCTTCTGCTCTGTGAGTCTTTTTAGTGTAGTTCCATGAAGAAATATTTATTGATTGTGCTCTGCAGCTCAGAAATGTTTACTAAGTTTTAAATTTGGGTCAGTTACTATAGATGTGTGAATTAAGGTTCTAAAAGAAATCCATATCAGGGAAGAAACCCAAAAATATTAATTTTATTATTTTGAAGCCTTGTAGGAACTATTAGGAGACAAAATAAGTGTATTATCTCCAAGATTCCTTAGTGTTACATATTAAGGGCTAATGAATGGTACAGGTATATTTCAAACTCATTATAAAAGCAGGCTTAGCTCTTCTTACATCTTCCTCAGTTTCTATTCTAAATGATGAAAATTGAGGCATAGAGGCTTAAAACATTCTCAAGGTAAGATTCATTTCTGTTAGCTGTGTGGTGCTTATTAAGACAGGAATTAGACTCAGGTCATTTGGGATGACTTTCAACAAGGGCTAAAATTAAGAGAGGTTTGTAGATACTTTTCAGTTAATTGCCCCTTTTATTATTGATATGCATCAGCTAGCTTTTCTTCTACATGATTAGATGTAATTTCAGAGGAAAAATAAAAGTCAGGTTGATAAAAGGATCTGTTAACTGAAAGCTCTTCAGTCCTCTTATGAGACATCACTGAGAACAGACTAATAAAGAGGGAAAAACCACATATGTTCTGGAAAGCCACAAATATTGATCCATGTATGAATTCATTTCTACTAGTTCGTTAACACTCTTATTGAATTTGAAAAATAAAAACAACAAAAGCTGTTTGTTCAACAACATAATTTCTTGTCCTTTGGGTCCTAGATTAAGAAAAAACAGCAAGATGTGCTTGGTTTCTTAGAGGCTAACAAAATAGGATTTGAAGAAAAAGATATTGCAGCCAATGAAGAGAATCGGAAGTGGATGAGAGAAAATGTACCTGAAAACAATCGACCAGCCACAGGATATCCCCTGCCACCTCAGATTTTCAATGAAAGCCAGTACCGCGGGGTAAGGAACCAATTAAAATTCTTATTTTTTTTTTTTTAAATGGATTGCCTCAAACCCATTCTCTTTCTTTTACTCCCACTCCAAATCTCCATACAGTCATTCATCCTGCTTATCCTTTGCATCCATCCTAGACATCTGGGGTGTTTTACCTTCTCAGTTCCAGTTCAGTTCAGTCACTCAGTAATGTCAAACTCTTTGCAACCCCAAGAACTGCAGCATGCCAGGCCTCCCTGTCCATTGCCAACTCCCGGAGTTTACTCAAACTCATGTCCCTTGAGTCACTGCTGCCATCCGGCCATCTCATCCTCTGTCGGCCCCCTCTCTTCCTGCCTTCAATCTTTCCCAGCATCAGGATCTTTTCAGATGAATCAGTTCTTCACATCAGGTGGCTAAAGTGTTGGAGTTTCAGCTTTAGCATCCGTCCTTCCAATGAATGTTCAGGACTGATTTCCTTTAGGATGGACTGGTTGGCTCTCCTTGCTGTCCAAGGGACTCTCAAGAGTCTTCTCCAGTACCACAGTTCAAAAGCATCAATTCTTCGGTGCTCACCTTTCATTATAGTCCACCTTTCACATCCATACATAACTACTGGAAAAACTATTGCTTTGACTAGACGGACCTTTGTTGGCAAAGTAATGTCTCTGCTTTTTAATATGCTGTCTAGGTTGCTCGTAGCTTTTCTTCCAAGGAGCAAGCATCTTTTAATTTCATGGCTGCAGTAACCATCTGCAGTGATTTTGGAGCCCACTCCCCAAAAAAGAAATAAAGTCTGTCACTGTTTCCACTGTTTCCCCATCTATTTGCCATGAAGTGATGGGACTGGATGCTATGATCTTAGTTTTGTGAATGTTGAGTTTTAAGCCAACACTTTCACTCTCCTCTTTCACTTTCATCAAGAGGCTCTTTAGTTATTCTTTGCTTTCTGCCATAAGTGTGGTGTCATCTGTATAGCTGAGGTTATTGATATTTCTCCCGGCAATCTTGATTCCAGCTTGTGCTTCATCCAGCCCAGCGTTTCTCATGATGTACTCTGCATGTAAGTTAAATAAGCAGGGTGACAATATATAGCCTTGACGTACTCCTTTCCCTATTTTGCCTTCTACTGGGAGGCAAATGGATGAGTCATTCACCAAAAAGTTATTGGTGAATATATAAATACAGACCAGAGCATTTTATTGTTTTAGTATGTTCATGAAGAAGCTGCTGAAAAGAGGTGAGCTGTTTTACTTATTTAGTTTGAAATTAGTTTAAAAAGAGGAATACCTTATTTTCTGCTTAAAAGTAGTAAAGCTTTTATTTTGGTATCATTACTGAATTTTCTTTAAATTGTTGACTTATGTATGGATTAGGGAAACAAAAGTAATTTTTACTTTGTGACTGGTGTTTTCAAGTATGCCATCTTGGTTCTTGATGGCAAGTCAACAAGGAAAGCTATGACCAACCTAGACAGCATATTAAAAAGCAGAGACATTATTTTGTCAACAAAGGTCCATCTAGTTAAGGCTATAGTTTTTCCAGTAGTCATGTATGGATGTGAGATTTGGACTATAAGGAAAGCTGAGTGCCAAAGAATTGATGGTTTTGACCTGTGGTGTTAGAGAAGACTCTTGAGAGTCCCTTGGACTGCAAGGAGAATCCAACCAGTCCATCCTAAAGAAGATCAGTCCTGGGTGTTCATTTGTAGGACTGATGTTGAAGTTGAAACTCCAGTACTTTAGCCACTTGATGTGAAGAGCTAACTCATTTGAAAAGACCCTGATGCTGGGAAAGATTGAGGGCACAAGGAGAAGGGGACGACAGAGGATGAGTTAGTTGGATGGCATCACTGACTCGATGGACATGGGTTTGGGTGAACTCCGGGAGTTGGTGATGGACAGGGAGGCCTGAAGTGTTGTGGTTCATGGGGTCGCAAAGAGTTGGATACAACTGAGTGACTGAACTGGACTGAACTGCCCTTTCAGTCTTTTTTCATGAAAATCTCATACCCTTCCTCCAAACACAACACAGAGTTACTATTCTTATGGCCATGGGCATGCCTAGCTAATATCTGGTCTTCCATTGGTTCTGAAGACATCTCTACCTTTTAAATTATTTTAATTTTTTATTATTTTATTTATTTTATAATTATTTATTTTTATTTTTATCTGCATTAATAATTCAGGAGAAATAATGGTGAACTGGCACAACAGTTTCAAACCAAAATTAAGCAACCTCTTACTGGCATAGAGTTGGCTACTTTGGGCTGTGAAGAAAGCTATTTCCCCTGAGGCAGATTTAAGTTCTATACAGCATGAAGTAAGAGACCAATTCCTGTATCTCACAGAACAGTATATCTTTTAACCCACATTAACTGGGGTCCAATGAGCCTTGCCTCTTTACTGCTCTTTACAGAATTCTAGCATTATTGAAGTTAACTGACCTGTCTGCCCCCAAAGATGTTGAGCAGTCAAATCATTTTGAATTAATTTCCTCTTTTCTTTCCAACCAACAAAGGTTGCATATTGCTAATTCTTCTTGCCTTCATTTTATCAAGGATTATGATGCCTTCTTTGAAGCCAGAGAAAATAATGCAGTGTATGCCTTTTTAGGCTTGACAGCCCCACCTGGTTCAAAGGTATGATTCATTTTTCCTTTTCTTTGTAGGCCACTTTATTGCTTCTTTTTTTTTTTTACAGCATTTTATTTTATTTTATTTTATTTTTTCATTTATTTTTATTAGTTGGAGGCTAATTACTTCACAGAATTTCAGTGGGTTTTGTCATACATTGACATGAATCAGCCATGGAGTTACATGTATTCCCCATCCCGATCACCCCTCCCACCTCCCTCTCCACAGTAAAATTTCCTTTATTAAGTATACAGATTAAGCTAGAGGTAGTACAGCATAGGTAAAAGGAAATGTCCCTGCTCTGCCTGCACTTAATCCCTAGTGTGGTAAACAGATGTGCATAATCAAATACATTATGTATGTGGATAAGAGGTAGGCAGAGTGACTTCCCTGTCAAACTGCCTAAGACAGCAGATTTCTCACTGACCCATTCACAAATAAGTGGTTAGCAACTTTAAAGGATCCATTATTCCAGTTGTCATGTATGGGTCTACATGGACAGAAATCATCTTAGTTCATAGTAATCTTCTTGGTGGTATCTATTGTTTTTGTGTGGAAGCAACTGCCATAGTCACCTATTCAAATTAACTAAGAGCATCTGAGTCTCAAAACTGGTCACTAAATTGCTGGCTGAATTTGGAAATTTTTCCCCTGCCAATGACAAAATTTTTTGAGTGGCAGAGTTCCCAGAAGAGACCATATAAAGAAAAATATCAATAATTAAATTGCAAATTTGAAGAAAAGTCTCAAGCTATGGACTTTAAATATGCCTTTGCCTTTTACCACATTTCTTCTTGACAAAGGCTAGTTTAATCAAAATGTGTGGCCCTGCTGGCATTTTACATTTTGCTCTTAGAAGTTAATTTTATGTTAAACAGATTCTTCAAACTCCAGCTCCTTCTCCAATTTTGAGTCTGTATTATTGTCTATGTTTTCACTAGAGACCATTTACAGGAATTTTTGAGTCACTATGAAATTCTGTTTTCTTGCCAAACTTTCTTTTACCATGGATAAGATGTATTATTTTAGGCTTTATATAATTCAAATTGTAGGAAATCTTAGGTAAGGAATTTTCCTTTAAACAAGTTGTGTGCATAAGTTTCTTCAGTCACGTCCAGCTCTTTTGTGACCCTATAGACTGTAGGCTGCCAGACTCCTCTGTTCATGGGATTCTCCAGGCAGGAATACTGGAGTGGGTTGCCATGCTGTCCTCCAAGGGATCTTCTCAATCCAGGGATCAAACCTGCATCTCTTACATCTCCTGCCTTGGCGGGAGGGCTCTTTACTACTAGCACCACCTTGGGAAGCCCTTAAAGAAGTTAGTAAAACCCAAATTGTCACTAATTTCAGGGCATATATTAGAGAAAGTATGAAAGGAAGGATCATCTATTTTTTATGACTGATGACTTTCAGTGAAGTGGAAGTTATTCATTCATTTATTCATTCAGTAAATATTTACTGAGTGTCAAATATTGACTTGATATTGATGGTAGGGCAGATACAGAGAATATGGCATAATCTCTATCTTCAAAGTGTTTATAACCTAGTGAGGGACATGTATGCAAGTAATTATACAATGAATATGTCTACAAATAATTATGATATACAGTGGTAAATTCTATATGATTGGTATAAATAAAGTTTAGTAGGCATCCAGAAGAAATAATCATAAATTGCTACTAAGGACTTTGGGGAAGATTTCACAGAGGAATTGACATTTGAGCTACTAGGGATTCCAAAATGCTGAAGTAATGCTAAGCATCTTTCACAGAGGTTGCAACAGGAACCACTGCATTTGGATATAGCTGCACCTGATGGTATATCTGGGAAGCAGTAGTGCAGTGTAGCATGAACCTAGAATAGGACATATTAAATAAAAGAAGATGCATTAGAAAGTGAGATTGGCTTGGTAGGTTGGGGCCAGATTATGAATGCTGTGCTATAAATGTATGTGTACATGAATGCTGTACTTTCAGCTTCATCTTCTAGGCATGTAAAAGCCGTGGTGTGGAATGAGGGAAGACAATGAGGTGATTATATCTGTATTTTAAGATGTGATTTGATCTTTTTGTTAAGAAAATAAATTTAGCAGATTTATCTGTGGATTGTGAAACATTGAATAAATGAAATATTAGAGTTGGGCTGACCCATTAGAGGGTACCTTAAAAGTTCAGAAGAGATGACCTAAAGTGGGAAAGCAGCTATAGAAAGGAAAAGATGGATTTAAGAGGCACAGAAAAATCACTTGTGATAGAATTTAGCAGTTTACTAGAATCTTGTGTATGAAAAGATTTGGAAAGGATTGAAGTAATCTCTAAGGCTTCTAACCTGGGTGATTGGGAAATAAAGCAAAAGTCATGGAGGAAACAGAAAAATGAGTGATCCAAGGGAGGGGTTAGCCTTGGAAAGGAGAGGGTATGCAGTTTTCTTTTGAGACTGGAAAGAATGAGGGGAGAAAGATGAAAATAGAAATTTTAATGTGCATGGGAGTTTAGGAAAGTTCATATTTGAAAATGTTTTATCTTTAGTATGAGGTAGGAACAAAAATCATCTGATAGGAAGGATGGGAAATTCAATGAAAATTGAAAGTATTCACTTGTTGAAAATAATAATAATAAGCTAAAGAATAGGCTAAGATCATGGATGGAATGATGGCTTAGCAAGATGAAAGGCCTGGTTGAAGTTAGAGTTGATGAGCCCATTATGAAGCCAGTCAACTTATTTATAGTGTTTTTTTCATCCTTGTTTAAGCCTAGAAGTAGGAATAGAGTAAATGAACAGCGTATATTATCAAGGACTGAACTAGAGGGAGCTGATAGATTGTGATAACAAAAAGACATCCAGAATTGACAGTGGAGTTGAGGGTAGATTGGTAATAGGAAGATTTTGAATGTTAGTATGTAATAGGTTTTTCTCAAGATTAAAAGTGATAAATTTTATATCAGAAGAGTTTCCCCCTTTAATTTAACAAGATAATAAGTCTTCCAGAAAGAACTGGCTGAAAAGAAAGTATACAAAATAAAGAGATACAGCTAAGTAACCCACATTGAAAAAATGCAGTCATAATAAAAGAAATGTGATAAAAGTAGATACAGTATTCATCTGTGAAGTTAACAAATATAAAACAGTGATAATGCTCAATGCTGAGAAGGGTGCATTGGAACATATTCTCTCATATATTACTGATGATGGTATAAATTAGTACTACTATTTGAAAACCAAAATGGCAAATATATATTATGGACCTAAAAAATGTTTACAATTCTTCATCCAGTAATTTTACTGGGTATTAAAGTCCATTGAAATAATTTTATACACAGAAAAGGCTTTAGGAATAAAAAAATAAAAATGCTATTTGTATCTTAAGAAATTTGTAAACAAGTTAAATGTCTAAAAATAGGATCAACAAAAATGGTTTATCCACTTAATGAACTCATGTTCTCATTAAAAAATGATAGTTTGTGAAAAGATACATTATAATGAGCTACAGAATTGCTTTTATTGCATAATGAACATTCTAATTACATTTAAAATCTATTTATAGGGCAAAAGAGACTAGAATCATAACTAATAATATACCTATTTTTCCCTTTATTTTCCAAATAATTAAAATACATTCTCTTTATATTTAAAAATTATTGAAAGCCAGTGCACTGGAAAACTTGTGATTTAAAAGTACCCAATAGCAAATAGTTCCATAAAGCAAGGAATCTTATTTAATAAAATTTTTTTTTATTCTTTTCAATATTGGATGCATTTAAACATAGTATATAAAGATATTTACTATTTACTTTTTTTGCTATTTACTGTTTTATTAATACAAAAAATAATTTCTTATCATTAGCATTTCTTACATTTCAATAGAGTTGATAGTTTTGATATGGAATAAAATAATTGATATATTTTTACTAAAATATAAAAATCCAGTGATGTGGAAAAGCCATATTCACCAACACATTGAAGGAACAAAGCACGCTGGTTAAAGAAGTATTCTCATTGACTTTGAACCACCTGGCTCTAGGGAAAGGCCATGAAAATCTGCCTCTACTGTGGGATTTGAAGCATTCCCATTTCTACTAAATCCATTCCATTTTACTACATCTCCAAGGGAAACTGTGTGTTAACAACACTTAGTTGTGGTGTTGGTCTTAGTTACTTTCTACTTAATCCAGGAAGTGGAAAGAAGAAAGGTAGGAAAAAAATACAGATACCTGCAATGAACCAAGCACTGAGCTACACATTTCACATTTATCTCATTTTATCTTTATTCCACCCTTAAGAGACAGGTATCCTCAATGCCATTGTACAGAGGAGGAAACTGATACTCAGATAATTTAAGTAATTTGACCAAGACTACATAATAATTTAGTAGCAGACATGGAATTTGAACCCAGGATTATATGACTCAAAACCAATGCATTTATAGAATGATGTTTATAGTGGGAGTAGAGATAAAGAACACATCATATTCCTATTTCTAAAGCTCTCTGGTTGATTAAATAACTAGTGATTCTATAAATACTAGCCACTTAATTTTACATAATAATAAAGCTTTCAGCACAATTTACATATTGTATGAATAAAATATATTTTTAAAAATAAATAATTTAAATATATAGTATGTTTTATATTTAAATATAAGTATAACATATTTAATATACTATACTTACAGGTATATATTTAAGTATATATAATATACTTATGAGTAAATGTAAGTACAGTATATTTAAATGTAGTATATTAAATAGTATGTGTTCTTTTTTTTTTTAAATTAATTAATTTATTTATTTATTTTTTTATCACAACCATAGTGTATCTTTTTTTTTTTTTTTTACATGTATTCCCCATCCCGGTCCCCCCTCCCACCTCCCTCTCCACCCAATCCCTCTGGGTCTTCCCAGTGCACCAGGCCCGAGCACTTGTCTCATGCACCCAACCTGGGCTGGTGAACTGTTTCACCCTAGATAATATACGTGTTTCAATGCTGTTCTCTTGAAACATCCCACCCTCGCCTTCTCCCAGAGTCCACAAGTCTGTTCTATACATAGGAGTCTCTTTTTCTGTTTTGCACATAGGGTTATCGTTACCATCTTTCTAATAGTATGTGTTCTTAAAGACAAATTACAAAGAATTTTTAATTGCCTTCTGTTTTGGATTTTTGTGCTAGTAATTTATTCCACTAAAAAGGATAACTGAAAACTACACAGTTTGTGACAGATCAGTAAAGATTGATAAATATGACTTTAGGGAACTAGGCTGTCTCCAAAATACTAGTTACTCAGGTATTAGATGCTCGTAAGAAGAAAGACGTTACATTAGTCACATATTCACATTTTTATACCACTGCTTCCCCATCTATATATGCTGGGCCATTGAAGGGCTTTGGTATAAAATTCATTGTGCTGTGTGAGGAAATATTTAGAATCTTCTTCAATAAAATGAAACAAAATACATACCGTGGGTCTAAGACAGACTCATTTTGACAGCCAAACACTACTTTAGAAATTTCAAAAGAGCTTAGGGACTATATATTTGTATGTATGTATGTGTGTGTGTATATATATGTATATGTGTATATATATATATATATATATATATATATATTTTACTAAGGGTTTTGGAAGGTGAGTCAATAGTGTACTACATCTGTTTTGTTAAGGATGTATTAAGAATGAATTACACTGTCTTCTGGTTTCCTTCTATGAGTTTTGCTTCTTTTTTGAGGGGGGAGGTAAAAATGTACCACCTTTTACTTTTCCTTTCTTCCAGTGTTAGCATCAGAGGCTTATTTTGGAATATTCAGTTGCCTTCACTCCTCCTTATATTGTCAAGAGAGGTGTTTAGGTGCTGATTTTTTAGTATATATGATTTCTACAACTCATATCTGAGGTTTCTTTCACCAAATTCACTCATGCCACCCATCTTTATTTCCATATATTTTTCCTTGAATTGTATTTTGTGTTGAGTACTATCTTAAGTGCCATAGCACACCTATAGGTCAGAATTCCTATGGTAGAAGTACTCACTGTTCACAGGAACTGCTAAGAAATTTAAAAACAACATTTTAGCAAATAACACATTTTCTAAGTAACTTAACCTTAATTAAACAAAACTCAGCAGACTGGAAACTGTAGATGACAATGTTTTTGAACACTCAATTTTTGTGAAAAATCACTCAAAAAGTAAATTAGCTACTTTTAAATAAAATGTCAACTATAATTGACACAAGTGTAAATCACTCGCTTTTATGGAATTGTAGACAGTTCTCTATTACATCTGTTTCTAGACAGAAGTTTCTATATTATAGTTTTTCTATTAATTTTTAAGCCATCTTTTTCTGGGGGCTATTTTTCTGACTTTGAATATTCTTAGTAATTTGAGATAATATAGTTTACTCAAAATACACATGTATGTATGTTTTATGATATTTTAATCTGTTCTGTTTTTTTTTTTTTTTTCATTTCAGGAAGCAGAAGCTCAGGCAAAGCAGCAAGCATGAATCTTAAATATTCTGCCTTCAGCATCCTGAAAAAGGAGTCTCCATTGCTTTTTATAAAATAGCAAAATTATCATGGCTTCAAAAGAAATAGGCTTAATGTTGAAATACTAGATTAGTTGGTGCTTTCACATGCAAACAGTCAAAATGAATTCATAATTAAAATGTTAGCATTGTGATGAGGAATATAGGAAATGAACATAAAATTTTAAGTAGTTGCCATGGAATACTATTGTCTGCTAAGGCATTTTATGTACTTCAGTGATTTTAAAAAGCAAGCGCCTGTTCCCTTTTTCGGTATTATTATTGCAGTTTAATTATATCTGTATCTCTACATTGAGTAATTTTAAAAGGCTAGTGAGAATTTGTCTCTTGTTCCCAAATTGCCTCATTAATTTTAGTGAACAAAAGTCTGTACCGTTTTAGTGTGAATTATTGTGACTAAAAAGTAGTTGCAGATAATGTTTATGATATGTCATACATTGTAATTTCCTGTGGTATTTATAACATTCCCATTCCTTTGTAGTTAAAAATTTAAAAAAGAATTATATGTACTGAATCACAGGTCTTCTAGGCTTCTAAATGTAGCCTTTCATTGCATATTTCAGTGACCGGAACAGATGACCTCCCACAAAAAAATGATGTATTCAGTTGAAAATTTCTTGCTTAACTACACACCTTTCATGCAATCATGTTGCTAAGCTGCTTGCCCTGGAGAAATATGTATATGTATGTTATGGAAGTGGGATGGCAAATAAGTTTAAAATGGCATCCTTTTACAAAGAACTCAGACTTTTAATTAACTTTTAAAATAGATTGGAAATAAGTTTCCCCTTTTAAAACAACTTATGATCATGAATGCCACTATCTCTGATGTATTTGACATTTTTGTTTCAGCTTATTGTATGAGTGCATTAATCTAAGCAGAGAGAATTTTTTCTCTGCCTCTATTCCCGTGAATACCATAAGTATCAGACAAAAGGATCAATTTTTTAAATATTAATTTTGAAAACTTCTTAGGAGACAAGAAACATTATGGCCTACATCAGCCAGAAGACATGTATATTGTACTTTAGTTCCACACTACTATTGTACTTTGGTTCCACATTACTGAAAGCAAACACATTTTACTTTAAATTACGTTATCATATCATTTGATGTATGCAAGTCTATGCTCTTTGCCAAAATCAACATATAATGAAGACATGACTTTGTTTACTGAAATTCAAACTTGCTGCAATGTTTTAAAATAAACTCAGTACTTTCAAAAACATAATTTTTGTGTTCATATAGTTTCTAAATAGGGTAATAGTAATTTTAGATGGGTAATACACCTTTTAGGTAGTGGGAAAGGAGAAAAGAGAAAATAACAGAAAGAAAACATTTTGAATAAACTTTCTAAATTTCTTATTTAGGATTCTGAATTGTGCAGTATACACTGGAGTCAAACAAAGCATTGTTTTGTGTACAAAAATATTCTTTGGAGAGCTCTAGAGTAAACAGAGTATTTTGTAATAAATTCTGGAAAATGCTAAAACATTTTTTCATCAATATTTTCTCCTGAGCTTTATTAAATGCAGATGATGATACTTGCAGTATTTTGTGGGCATTTTTGCTTTTCCTTTAGTTTCAAATAATCAATACTGTCAAAAACAGACATTCTTTAAAAATAGATGACAGTTTTGAGATGTTTATATCTACTAGACCATACCTTAAAATTAACATATATGTATATGTAAAGTAAAATGTTGAACTGAGTCTTCACAAATTGAAATCTTTGTTTTTGTCAGCTGAGTACTATATGTCCTTTAGATATAAAAAAAGCAAGTGAAATTCTGAATATTAGGAAGTGCCTTCAAGGCCATGCTGATTTTGGTCACTGCCCCCTGTACAATGTTATGAACCTTTGTCCATAGTTCTTCAGACACTCTGCCTACCAGATCTAATCCCTTGAATCTATTTGTCACCTCCACTGTATAATCATAAGGGCTTTGATTTGGGTCATACCTGAATGGCTTAGTGGTTTTTCCCTACTTTATTCAATTTAAGTTAGAATTTTGCAATAAGGAGCTCATAATCTGAACCACAGTCAGTTCCAGGTCTTGTTTTTGCCTACTGTATAGAGCTTCTCCTTCTTTGGCTGCAAAGAATATAATCAGTCTGATTTCGCTATTGGCCATCTGGCAATGTCCATGTATGGAGCCATATCTTATGTTGTTGAAAGAGGGTATTTCCTATAACCAATGTGTTCTCTTGGCAAAATTCTTAGCCTTTGCCTTGCCTCATTTTGTACTCCAAGGCTAAACTTGCTTATTTCTCCAGGTATCTCTTGACTTCCTACTTTTGCATTCCAATCCCTATGATAAAAAGGACATCATTGGGTTTGTGTGTGTGTGTGTGTGTGTGTGTGTGTGTGTGTGTGTGTGTGTGTGTGTGTGTGAATTCTAGAATATCTTGTAGATCTTCACAGAACCAATCAACTTCAACTTCTTCAGCATTAGTGGTTGGGGCATAGTCTTGGATTATTGTCATGTGGAATGGTTTGCCTTTGAAATGAACTGAGAATATTTTGTTTTTGAGATTGCACTTAAATACTGCATTGCAGACTCTTTTATTGACTATGAGGACTATTCCATTTCTTCTAAGGGATGCTCACGCACAGTAGTAAATACAGTCATCTGAATTAAGAATAGCAAGGAGAGATAAGAAAGCCTTTCTCAATGATAAATGCAAAGAAATAGAGGAAAACAATAGAATGGGAAAGGATAGAGATATCTTCAAGAAAATTAGAGATACCAAGGGAAGATTTCATGCAAAGATGGGCTCAGTAAGGACAGAAATGGTGTGGACCTGACAGAAGCAGAAGATATTAAGTGGTGGCAAGAATACACAGAAGAACTGTACAAAAAAGATCTTCACAGCCCAGTTAATTATGATGCTGTGATCATTCACATAGAGCCAGACATTCTGGAGTGTGAAGTCAAGTGGGCCTTAGGAAGCATCACTACAAACAAAGCTACTGGAGGTAATGGAATTCCAGTTGAGATATTTCAAATCCTAAAAGATGATGCTGTGAAAGTGCTGCACTAAATATGTCAGCAAACTTGGAAAACTCGGCAGTGGCCACAGGACTGGAAAAGATTACTTTTCTTTTTTTTTTAATTTTTTAATTTTTTTTTCCATTTATTTTTATTAGTTGGAGGCTAATTACTTTACAACATTGCAGTAGTTTTTGTCATACATTGAAATGAATTAGCCATGGATTTACATGTATTCCCCATCCCGGTCCCCCCTCCCACCTCCCTCTCCACCCCATCCCTCTGGGTCTACCCAGTGCACCAGGCCCGAGCACTTGTCTCATACATCTAACCTGGGCTGGTGATCTGTTTCACCCTAGATAATATACATGTTTCGAAGCTGTTCTCTTGAAACATCCCACCCTCACCTTCTCCCACAGAGTCCACAAGTCTGTTCTATACATCTGAGTCTCTTTTTCTGTTTTGCATATAGGGTTATCGTTACCATCTTTCTAAATTCCATATATATGTGTTAGTATACTGTAATGGTCTTTATCTTTCTAGCTTATTTCGCTCTGTATAATGGGCTCCAGTTTCATCCATCTCATTAGAAAAGATCACTTTTCATTCCAATCCCAAAGAAAGGCAATGCCAAAGAATGCTCAAACTACCACACAATTGCACTCATCTCACATGCTAGCAAAGTAATGCTCAAACGTCTCCAAGCCAGGCTTCAGCAATACATGAACTGTGAACTTCCAGATGTTCAAGCTGGTTCTAGAAAAGGCAGAGGAACCAGAAATCAAGTTGCCAGCATCCACTGGATCATCAAAAAAGCAAGAGAGTTCCAGAAAAACATCTATTTCTGCTTTATTGACTATGCCAAAGACTTGGCTGTGTGGATCACAATAAACTGGAAAATTCTGAAAGAGATGGGCATACCAGGCCACCTGACTTGCCTCTTGAGAAACCTGTATGCAGGGGTCAGGAAGCAACAGTTAGAACTGGACATGGAAAAGCAGACTGGTTCCAAATAGGAAAAGGAGTACATCAAGGCTGTATATTGTCACCCTGCTTATTTAACGTATATGTAGAGTACATCATGAAAGATGCTGAGCTGGAAGAAGCACACGCTGGAATCAAGATTGCCGGGAGAAATATCAATAACCTCAGATATGCAGATGACACCACCCTTATGGATGAAAGTGAAGAATAACTAAAGAGCTTATTCATGAACATGAAAGAAGAGAGTGAAAAAGTTGGCTTAAAGCTCAACATTCAGAAAACTAAGATCATGGCATCCGATCCCATCACTTCATGACAAATAGGCGGGGAAACAGTGGGAGACTTTATTTTGGGGGCTCCAAAATCACTGCAGATGGTGATTGCAGCCATGAAATGAAAAGACGCTTACTCCTTGGAAGGAAAGTTAAGACCAAACTAGACAGCATATTAAAAAGCAGAGACATTACTTTGCTAACAAAGGATCGTCTAGTCAAGGCTATGGTTTTTCCAGTGGTCATGTATGAGTGTGAGAGTTGGACTATGAAGAAAACTGAGCACCGAAGAATTGATGGTTTTGACCTGTGGTGTTGGAGAAGACTCTTGAGAGTTCCTTGGACTGAAAGGAGATCCAACCAGTCCATCCTAAAGGAGATCAGTCCTGGGTGTTCATTGGAAGGACTGATGCTGAAGCTGAAACTCCAATACTTTGGCCACCTCATGTGAATAGTTGACTTATTGGAAAAGACCCTGATCTTGGGAGGGATTGGGGACAGGAGGAGAAGGGGATGACAAAGGATGAGATGACTGGATGGCATCACTGACTTGATGGACATGTGTTTGAGTAAACTCCGAGAGTTGGTGAAGGACAGGAAGGCCTGGCATGCTGTGATTCATGGGGTAGCAAAGAGTCAGACATGACTGAGCTACTGAACTGAACTGAATATTTCATTGGGTATATGTACCACAGCTTACTTATCCATT